TCTGAAGTATTCGCAGGCCACTATCCTGAAATAAAGAAGGATGTTCCCCAGCATGGGACAAGAGTCTCGTGGAGCAAACAAAGGATAAGGAGAATCCAGAACAACTCCTGGGTCCTGTTTACATGAGCAAAAGTTGCAAGATTCTTAGTGACAAAGAACCAAAATCTTAAATCAGATCCCTTTCTCCCACTTTAAAGATCATGCAAATGTTTACATATACCGGTGCCAGTGTTACTCAAGTGGTAAAACGTGTAGGGTAGGGTTGTCACTGCAGAGAGTGGATTCGCTCATTCTCTATGAACCATTCCCTGCTTTCACAAAGTCTAACTGAACTGCTTGTGAGCATGTGTGTGTGTGTGTGTGTGTGTGTGTGTGTGTGTGTGTGACTTCGATATTACAAGCAACATTTTATATCCCAAAGAGGACAAAATGGGGAAAGCCACACCCCTTCCAAATGCTGTTGCTGGGTCTCATGATGGTTAATTTCATGTGTCCACTCAGCTGGGACATGGTGCCCAGGTATGTGGTCAGACATTATTCTGGGTGGCTCTCTGAGAGGGTGCTTTCTGACGAGATGGACATTGAAATCGGTGGACTTGGAGAAGCTTACTGTGCTTCTCAATGTAGATCGGCCTCCTCCACTCAGCTGAAGGCCTGAATGGAGCAACAAACAACCCGCCCGCCCCCCCCCCCAGCAGGAGGGAACCCTGCCAGCATTCAGCCTTCAGACCTGAACTGTAACATCAGCTCTAACCTGGTCTCCGGCCTGCTGGCCCACCTGGCTGATTTGGGATTGGCAGCCTTCATAACCACGTGAGCCAGTTCTTTAAAATAAACCTCTTTCTGTGCACGTCACATCCTGTCGGTTCGGTTACTGTGCAGAACCTTGACTAACACAGGTATGCTACACCTTATAGGTATAAAAACACACTCTGCATTTGAAAGGAGATCAGACTACACTAACCGCAAACTCTGGCCCTACTCTACGATTCTGCATATAAGCTTCTACTCTGATTGAATATGCTTCTAGCAGGCTCTACATTCCATAGAGAATTAATTAGACTCTACTGTTTAACACGCTATGTTTGTATGGGCAGAGTTGTAACTCACCAAAACTTTCAAAATATCTTAATCTATTTTAAAATTTTCCAATTAGGCAAAAATATACAGGGAGATATTATTTAACTGAGTGATGATAATCAGGACATATGTATTATGTGTATTAGCAAAAAAATAGTGAATAAATTATTCAGAAAAGGAAAATACCAGGTGGCATATAATGGATTTCTCATTGTCCGGCGCAAACTTTTCACTAAGAGAACACCCATGTCATCAAACGCTGCAGTGAGAATTCTCCTGTGGGAAGCATTTTGCACACAGTTTTCCGAACATAGAGAGGATAATCTGTCCTCCAGGAACTCATAGTCAAAATACATTATTTGGTGAATGGCATCATTCAGGTACCCCATTATGAAACTGTAAGGAGGGGACACATTTTTTCAAAGATACAAGTGCCTTCATTTCTCCTCCCACTACACAACTCCATTTAGGTCCGAAGTTTTGCATCCAAAACTACTGGTATATGAGCTTCTAACTTAGATCTGATTCATCATAATCATTTCCCAGAAGAATGGTCTTTCCATTTCTTCCACATTAATAGAGTGCCATTCCATGAAAAACACAGCGACATTATATAAATTAGAAATAATATATTAAAATAGAGTTTGTATTTGAATGAAGTTGCCAAGAACAAATGACCGTGATCGGCCACGATGCGTAGGAAAGGGCTTTGGCTTACTGCTGACACATGCTAGAACAGTGGTTCTCAACCTTCCTAATGCCGCGACCCTTTAATACTGTTCCTCATGTTGTGGTGACCCCCAACCATAAAATTATTTTCGTTGCTACTTCATAACTGTAATTTTGCTACTGTTATGAATCGTCATGTAAATATCTGATATGCAGGATGTATTTCCATTGTTACAAGTTGAACATAATTAAAGCATAGTGATTAATCACGAAAACAATATGTAATTATTTATGTGTTTTCCGGTGGTCTTAGGCGACCCCTGTGAAAGGGTCGTTCGACCCACAGGTTGAGAACCGCTGTGCTAGAAGGTCACCAAATGTCAGAGCACTTCCTTGGGGCTGAAATATTCACATTCCAAGTACATCCAGTTCCAGATCCAGTGTGTCACTAGAGGTATATTAACATTTAGGTTTCCTACAGCTTCAATGGGCTTGTTTTTAATATTGCCAGGGACAGTCTCAGCTGACTGAGACTTGCGTAGAAGTGAGAACTTGGCCAGCTGGCCTGAAGGATCCCAGCCAGATCTGACATTCTTGAGTCTGAAATTGCCTGGTGGAAGGATAGAAGGGCCTCCTCTCATTCTCGACAGTATTTCCTTTTGATCCTAAATGTACTTTTGCATCCAAAAACCATAGGGTGATACCTGGCTGAGGCATTAAGACCTTTAGTTCCCAGTGGGAATCATAATACTCCATCTTTTTTTCAAAATCTATTTTCTCTTTATATGGTTTTCTTTCTTTCTTAGAATTAAAAAAAATTATTCTCATCCCTTTCCCCTTTGACATCCATCAACTTGTGCTCTCTATATAGGAGTCTGTTTCTATTTTGTTTTGTTTATTTGTTTTGTTTTGTTTAGATTCCACATATAAGTGAAATCATATGGTATTTGTCTTTCTCTGTCTGACTTATTTCACTTTGCATAATACCCTCTAGGTCCATCCATGTTGGTGCAAATGGCAAGATTTCATTCTTTTTTATCACTGAATAATATTTCATTATATATATCACATCTTCTTTATTTATTCATCTATTCATCTAGATTGCTTCCATATCTTGGCTATTACTATTAATGCTGCAATGAACATAGGGGTGCATATATCTTTTCAAATTAATGTTTTTGTTTTCTTTAGGTAAATACCCCAAAGTGGAATTATTGGATCACAGGGCAGCTCTATTTTTAGTTTTTTGAGAAATATCCATATGGCTTTTCATGGCAGCTGCACTAACTTACAATCCCACCAACAGTGCATGAGGGCTTCTTTTTCTCTACTAGTACATCCCCACCAGTACTTATTGTCTGCTGTTTTAATAATGATAGCCATTCTGACAGGTGTGAGATGATAACTCATTGTGGTTTGAATTTGCATTTCCCTGATGATTGGTGATATTGAACATCTTTTTATAAGTCTGTTAGTCATCTGTATGTCCTTTTTGAAGAAATGTCTGTTCAGGTCCTCTGCCCATTTTAATGAGATTGTTATTTTGGCATAAGGTTGTATAAATGCCTTATATATTTTGGATATTAACTCCTCACAGATGTATCATTTGTAAATATCTCTTCCCATTCAGTAGGTTTTCTTTTTGTTTTGTTCATGGTTCCCTTTGCTGTGCAAAAACTTTTTAGTTTGAGGTATTCCCATTTGTTTATTTTTTCTTGTGTTTTCCTTTCCTGAGGAGACACATCCAAGAAGATGTTGCTAAGAGTGATGTCAGAGAGTTTACTGCCTGTGTTTTATTCTGGGAATTTTATGGTTTGAGGTCTTACATTTAGGTCTTTACCCATTCTGAGTTTACTTTTGTGTAAAAAAGTGGTCCAATTTCATTTTTCTTTTTTCAGTATCTGTCCTGTTTCGTCCTAGAGCTCACGTTGTCTACAGTGACTTGCCCAGGAATATGTGGGAGCAAGCAAAGTCATGATGTTTGAAAACCAGGAGGACTGAGAAATGTTCAGTGTGTGCATCTGATGACCTGCATCTGTCCCCTCTTACAGGTGCCTGGAGGACAAGGTCATGCCCACTCCAGTTGTACAATCCACACCCCAAGGCTCGTGGTCAGTGGGTGCTTAATAAACACTATCAGGCAATTAGAGTGACGATTGGTAACTGTCTCTGATGTCGTTACTACTTGCCAAAGAATTAAACTACATTTAAACTCTCAGTAATTATCTCCCATGCCAAATTGTTCCCATATGGAACCAAACATTGATGTTTTAGGCTGGATTCACACGATAGCAGTGATTACTTAATTATTCTACGGTGAACAGAGCCCAGTTTTCAAAAGAAACAACTTTCACAACTCATTAGACACATCCGTGGTCTGTGTAGGTGTGGTTACCCAGCGAGGTGAGGATGGAGGTGGAGGTGGGGTGCAGAAATTGTTACTGAAGACAGACAGCACTGCCGCTATCTTACTTGTCAGAGCGATGGACTTAAAGTTCCACATGTTTGATAAAGCAGTAAAATTTAAACTCCCCTCAAGTGTGTCACCTTAAATAAGGCATATACACACAGACATGACATCAACAGCATTTTTAAATATTCTACACAACTTTACAGAAAGAACCTGGAGGTGTTGCTTGTGGTACAGCTTCTACAGGTCTGCCACAGATGGCGTGCCCAGCTGAACACGGCTCTCCTGTCCTCTCCTTGGTTCTCCTGTCCTCTCCTTGGTTCTCCTGTCCTCTCCTTGGTTAACACCGGCAATTTCCAAATCCCCTGGATCAATTACCCACAATGCTGAGCAAGAACATCATTATTGAGTCTCAGGTTAGGTATCCATTTAGTGGGCAGGCGGAGGGACAGTGGGGGAGGGCAGTTTTTATAGGATAGCAAAGTCACTTACCAACTCTAAGCAACATTAGCTTCTATGCCTAAGGATATATAATATCTTTTTAAAATTTATTAATTCAGTGAAGGATAATTTTTGAGAGAATGTCTATACTTTTTAAAATTGTGGTAAGAAGACAGGTGGCATACCTAGGAATGGGCTTAAACTGTAGACGGTGGTTGGACTGAAGCTTCTTCACCATCAGGCCAAGGTCCTGTGCTTTCCTTTTTCCCATCCGATGTGTAACCTTCTGTGATGATCATTTCCCTCAAACACACCGCATGCTGACTCGTACTTCCTTGGTGGGGCTGGTGCTTCCTTCATCCGGTTGCTGTTTCTTTCCTTCCCTCTCGACTGATCTTGATTGGACTGAACCCATGTGGAGTCTAAACAGTGGCCTAGTGCTAGAGCAATGTCTGTTCTTTTCCTCTGCATTGGAAGGACTACTTATCCTTTTAAATGTATTTAAAAAGTCAGCACATTATAAATCAATCAATCAATAAACAGTAGCCTAAAAATGTAATATGATATAATTAGCTTCAGTTATCTACAGTGGAAATACTAACACAAGGAGAAGCACCAACCTCCAGGCCTGTCAGAGGAAGTATTCAGCCAACATTGATCACCATTTTTGTATCTTTGACAAGAATATAACTCCGGTGACAGGGCTTTGGAAATAGCCCTGGGTTGGATAAAAGTGCCTTTATCCAAATGCTGTGCCACCTCAAGAGCCACCCAAGACCCACGCCTGCACACGCAAACATCATCTTTCTATCTCTAGTTCAGGCCACCTGTCCATCTATCTTCGTTCATTTAACTACACAGGTTTTCCTGAGCTAAGAGCCTCCCAGAGTTGCCACGCAGCTCCATTCTCACTGTGCAGCTGATCAAGGTAAGATCGTCGATATAACTGTCGTGTGCTCGTGCATGCACACACGTGTAAGGGGGAAATGAAAGCAGATCTTTACGTAATCTAGACACATCGAAATCTATTAACATGATTCAGTTCATAAGTGTTTCAAAATACCATGTTCCTAATCCAGGAGTACGGAATCTAATTTCTCCACCCAAGAGCTCTTCATAAACCAGGCACAAAACACAAGCTCACAAACGCAAAAGTGACAACAACACAACTTACACTAAAACATAGTTTTGGCCCTAGCTGATTTGGCTCAGTGGATAGAGCATCGCATGAGGACTGAAGGGTCCCAGGTCTGTTTCCGGTCAAGGGCATGTGCCTCAGTTGCAGACTCGATCCCCGGCCCTGGTTGGAGCATGTGTGGGAGGCAACTGCTCTATGTGTCTCTCTCACATCCATGTTTCTCTCTCAGTGTCTCTCCCCCTCCCTTCCACTCTTTCGAAAAAAAAAATCAATGGAAAAATACCCTCGGGTGAGGATTAATAACAACAACAACAAAACCAAAACACAGTGTTGTAGAGTTGAGGGGAAGGAGACCAGCACCTGAGAGGTGATCCACCTGACACAGTTGGCCCTTTCACTGCCGTGCTCATGGGCCCGTCCTCACTGTTTATGTGAGAAGAGGTCTTTGTGTGGAGCACGAGTAGTTAACGTGGAACAAAAACTCCACGTTATACTTAGTAGACCATTGGGAAGATTTTAGCTAAAAACTGAAAATGAATGTGGGGTGTGCCGGAGTAGCCAGAGAAGTCCCCCAAACGTACTGCAGGCCCCAGGAGGAAGCCAGGGGCTGCCCCACGTCCATCATGAGTGGGAGCAGATGTCTGATCACTGGTGGTGAAAATCCACTGGTTTTCTAAAAGGAAACCTCTGGGAGTCCAATTTATTTATCTTTGTCCTGCGCTCTGAATAGAAGGATACACACCCCGCGGCAGTTTAAATCGTTTCCTGGAGCGCAGTCAGCTTTCGAACCCAGAGATCCCAACTTTAAACTCACTCCGGTGGGGGGGCGGGGGAGGGTGGGCAAGGAGCTGGCACTGCACAGTGAAGCGTTTCATCACCTAAGCCCTCACCCCCGAGAAAACCCTCTTTATATTCTAGGTACAAAAATGCCATCACTTTAGCCCGAGATGGAGTTGCATCATTCTATAGGCTCAGTTACCACGCTCCAAGCGAAAGGATCCACATGGACATTTGATAAGCTATCTACCGTGCATCAAGCTGACGACGGCCGAGTAGGAGAATGTATTCTGATATGATTGACAGGTTTTAACAATACCAATTTATTACCTGCCAGGATGCAAGGCATGCTTTTGATATACAGAAGTGAAATAATATTGGAATTAAACTCAGTCTAAGTTAAACCGGGAGTTATACTATTGCAAACAGACCCCAGATGAGTAGGAAAAGCATATTTTTCTGGGCCATAACAATTAGATAAGTGATGCGTGGTTATTACATAGATGACAAGCTGCAATGCAGTATAGCCTGTAAGTGCTCCTGCCCTCTTCAGATAAAAGCCAGCGTGGAACTCAGTCCCTTGGATGGAATAGAAATGTGAAATTACAGGGTTAGAGAGCAATATGTGGCAAAGTTGGGTAATTAGTATTAAGGATATGACTTATTTCCTGTAAGTCCTGGCTTTACCTGAGTTGCAGACCCAGACATCAGAGGCGATGGGTTAGAACTGGTTCACTGGGGTTCAATGATTGATATTTTTAACATGTGAAACCTGTTATTTTGTAGCTGAGGTTTACCCTGCTTCCCTATAGCTCCACAAACTTTCCATTTTAAATTACAGAACTTCGAAGCTAATGCTAAACTTTTATCTTTAAAAGTGGTGCTGCCTTTTAATCATTGGCTGTAGTTGTTTTTTCCCAAAACCTTATAGAAGATGGCACTGGTCTTAATTCTGACCAAGGAGGAGTTTACTCATCTAGCAACAGCAGCTCCAGGCCTCATTAATACGCCGCGAGTTCTTGATCAAAGGCAGAACTTAATGCAAAGCAAAATGTTTCAAAACAAGGATTTATACTTGCAACATGCAATAAATGTTTATCTAAGGCTAGCCAAGGAAATAAAAGTGCTTATTTTTTCCTTACCTGTGGAATATTTTGAGTGTCATTTCTCTCTTTATCGAAATTAGTCACCCAAGTTGGCTCAGGTAATGAGTAAAGCGCTGGTCAGCTCGTGGGCGAGCCAGTTGGCATTATTCTCTTCTCTCCGCTCACTGGCTGTACTCTGAACTTGAACATCTGTGCCCCTGGAGGTGGAGGGTAGGGTGGTAAGTGCAAATCCATCTCTAAATAGTCCCAAACTGCTAACTACACATGGTACCGGGATGGCTGTGCAGTAGACGTAACTTTGAGTGATAAAGAAACACAAGAATTGGCCGGGCCATGGGAGATGCCATCATCTTTGGTCATTAAAGTGCCAGTAAATGTAAATAATAGTGACATAACTAGGACTGACATAGTGGTCATGAGGGCCAGGCAGCATACTAGGTACTTCTTCCCCCTGCACGGCGTGTTGCCATCTACATTTTGTAGAAGCTCACAGAGTTCATGTCAATGATGCAGTAAGAAAATCATAGTTGGGGTCACTCATTACCATTTTAGCAAATATTGTAGCTCTGTATGTTATCAAATCTCTCTTTCTGTACACCACACATGGACATAAATGTATGAGGTTTGTATTTAATAGACAGTTGCCTTCTAACTTCAAAAGAGCAAACTATTAACCAATCAATAGCTGAGCAAGAGACACAAAAGGTTTTGCTAAAAGGATTCACGGAAATTACATACATACTGGGCTGACTCAAAAATGTCTCCACTCATGTATCTGTATTCTCCAAACAGCTTCCATCCTATATAATAAAAGCCTAATATGCTAACTGTCCAGTCACCCGGTCATCCGTTCAACCAATCAAAGAGTAATATGCTAATGATATGCTAAGGCCACTCAACCGCTCGCTATGATGTGCACCAGGGGGCAGATGCTCTGACAGGTAGGTTAGCTTGCTGCTGGGGTCCAGCCAATCAGGCTTGAGCAAGACCAAGTGAGATAGTCCAGACATGCCCTGGAGCCCTCCCGCGGTCCCTCCCCAGCTGGCCAACTTCCGGTGTCCCTCCCTGGCCCCAGTCATGCACTGGTGGGGTCCCTGAGCCTGGCCTGCACCCTCTTGGGGGATGTCGGACAGCCAGTTTCGGCCCACTCTCACAGGCCAGGCTAAGGGACCCCACTGGTGCACAAATTCGTGCACCAAGCCTCTAGTTGAAATATAACAACACCTGCGAATTACAGTCTATACTATTCCCTTAAAATCTACACCAAAGTAGTGAGGGCAGAAGAATAAAATGTGTGAGACCAAGAATAGCAAAAGATGACATTTTATCCAGATGATTTATTTATTTTGTTTGATGTAACATAGATCAGGCTCACTTCATTCTTCTAAGGCAGCGGTTCTCAACCTGTGGGTCACGACCCCTTTGGCGATCGAACGACCCTTTCACAGGGGTCGCCTAAGACCATCGGAAAACACATATATAATTGCATATTGTTTTTGTAATTAATCACTATGCTTTAATTATGTTCAATTTGTAACAATGAAATTGGGGGTCACCACAACATGAGGAACTGTATTAAAGGGTCGTGGCATTAGGAAGGTTGAGAACCACTGTTCTAAGGCCTCAGTGACACTCTACCAGGCATTAATTTGAAAGCCTCAAGCCACCTTGAGTCACTCCATAGAAACAAAAATCTAGGCAGGGGGCAGAGAAGACTAGCAATTTAAAAAAAAAAAAAGAAAAGAAAAGAAATGCAACTGGAGAAAATAAGATGTATTTTGTTCCACGAGAAATATGACTCTTCACTTTCCCAGGCTAACCAGGGCTCGTTCTTGTCATATGAATAATAGAGCCGTAACTCATCGGAATTGTCTACGTTTTAATTTGAAAAATAGTTCCTAGGTTAATCTTTAATAGCCTGTCTTCTGGACCCACAGAAAGAGTTACAAAAGAAATCGTTTACAGTGCGTAATTAAGGCCTAGGAGAAGCGCATTTAGCAATGCGGGGCTGTTCTCCTTTTCATCCAGTGGCCTCACTGGTGTGTAGATCCACCATTTGATCAGTGCCTCTGGCCCCAGGGGCTTCATGGTCTGCAAGCCACAACCTACTAATAAGCACCCTCCAGCTTGTTTGCTAAACAGATCGGTGCTGGCAGGCGCCCAAAACGCCAGTCCTTGAAACTTGGAGCTCTTTAACTTGCGCGGCCTATTGTGTGGCAAGCAAAGGGATAAACTGTGTGCCTCATAAATGCAGAGCAATTATGGATCAGTTAGTAATACAGCTGTGGCTCAAAAGATTGCTTACCTAAACCCAATCGAAGTCTAATTTATTTTTGTATTGTCTCTGCTGAAAACCAAACAAACAGCTCTACAGGGCTTGTGTACACAGTGAAGAAAATGGCTGCGTTTTCCTTATAAACAAGATAGCAACTATTGGCAAAAAGACGTCGTCCTCAGTAGCTGAGGGTTTCTGTTCAGAACCAAGCCATTGCTTGTTGT